CGCTGTACGATGATGATGATGATTGTTCATCTACACTACCACGCTATAGCGCGCGTTTAGCTCACGTCCCAGTTCTTATTCAAAGCAGGTACGAAGGGCTGAGTCAGGTAAACTCTGATCTGTCAACCGATTTGGTGGGGTTTTCTGCGACCGACGGTAAATTGCGTCAAAACTGATGCATGGTCAGATTCAATGCAGATAGTCTAATAGAACGTGCGGTTTTGTGGTAAGCTATGCCCACGGTAGCTGATTGCTGTAGTCGATTTGATTAAATTACCAGTTGAATTGGAGCACCCCGTTGCTCTCCGTTGAGAGCTGTATCGGAAGTTGGTACTTTATGGTAACAGATGGTGATCTGCGCAGAACTGAAGAAGTCGATCGCCGTTATATGTTCGCTCTCACGGCAAAGTACAACCACTGCATAGACAAGCTTCTGATGCGCTCAGTTTTCCAACCTTCAAGTACATCTATGTCGGAGCTTTGGATCAACCGGATGAGTTCGGCGAGCTTATCATAGAAAGCGTCTGTTTGTATCTCGGAAGTGCAATTGGTCGGTGCATATGCCGATCTGATGAACAAACACCTGGTGTTGCTGCCTGCAGAACGCTGATTGACCCCTGGAGTCGCGTCGCGATTGTTGATGGGTATCCAATCTCTTAGCGACATTTTGTCTGTATTATTGAGTACAATGTCTACTCCCGCTAACCCAAAAAGCTGGCCTCATCGTCCCCTGACGTGCGAAGGAAGTACTTCGGGAACAGACCCGATAAACTCAGGTGGCTTATATATTTCCACACACATCTGAAACCGGACTGTGCCAAACAAGTCATGGTACAATAATCTTTATGAAAAAGAGAAATGTTTCATAATTTGCAGATGGCTTATAATACTAGGATCCTGAATACCTGTCTCCGATATACAATAAACATCGATTTCCAAACAATCCTTTGTACGTGCAAAGTACGCTTGTTTACCTACCTGCATCAGAGTTCTCCCGCTGAAGAACTCGAGATTAGGAGGCTGACGAGACTTCAGAGTATGCAAATTATTTAGTGATGAATTACTTACAGCGCTACTGGGCAACTACTCTTGATGAGTGACAAACAAGTTGACTGATGGAGGGTTACGGATTAGGAGGGGCGAAAGGAGAGGGTTGGGTATAGAAGACAAGGAGTTGAACGTAAATTGGGATGTCTGCGCCCACTTCTCGGTACCCACCCCGCTCGATGCCATCGGAGGCGCGGTCCTGATTATCCTGCGCGAGCACCGATGTAGTATGAAATTATTTTGATTCGTGTTCATGAGAGCCTTGAGACAGGTATGGCTAAAAAGGTCAAAACACTAAGAAGGTTCTCGACCAAATCCTTTATTTCCTACGCGAAGCTAACTGCGGGTAAAGCCATTTACTTTTTCACAACTTTCACCGACTAAACGAAAATTCCATTCAAGCCCCAAACCTGGAGGACCAAGAGACTGGACTTTGTCTAGCGTCTACCCTCTGAACTTACAGGCACGATGAGATTTCTTGGCTTGATACCAGACATCTTGTGTAGCTTGTTTGGTCATAGAGGTGCACAAGCGCTCAAACTCAGTTCAGTTCAATTCTAACAACCATTAGCCATGCACCGGTTTTGGTTCCTCTCTTTAAGTTGCTCATTTGAATGAATGAATGAAGATTGAAATATTGAGAACAAAGTCAAGCAAAAGAAATCGAGTTCACATAGACTGAAGTTACAAGAATATTGAGTGGATTCAAGAACGCCACTGTTGACGATACCAACCATATCACTCAGTGTCTCTAGCCATCGGGTACG